CTCCCGGCATGCCTCGCGCGCTCACTGTGACTCGCCATTTTTCGGTCCCGCCCCCAGCCCGGTCTCAGCCAATCAGCTCCGCGTGACCCGGGAGCTCCCGCCAATCGCCGGGGCAGTGACCGCTGCCAATGCGGAGAGGCGGGACCGGAGAGCAACGGACGGACGGCGGCAACGACCAATGGAGAGCGGCGGGGGCGGGACCAGCGACAGCAACAACCAATGGGAAGCGGCGTAGGCGGCACCAGCGGCGGCGGCGACCAATGGAGAGCGTCGGGGGCGGGACTGGCGGCGGCGGCGACCAATGGAGAGCGGCGGGGGCGGGACTGGCGGCGGCGGCGGGGCCGGAGCGGGGCCCGGGAGCGATCGCGCGGGAGCGAGTGGGGAAGGAGCGGGCTCTGTGTGGGGACGCAGCGGTGACACAGCGGTGACTGAAGAGTGACCCAAGAGCCGCAGCTATGGTGAGACCCGGGACGGCACCGGGGGAGCTGCCGGCTCCGCACAGCGCGGCCCGCGGTGCCCGAGCAAGGCGGGTGGGCGGGAGGCCGCTCCCTGAAGGCTTCCCGTGGGGAGCGGCGATGGGGCCGCCGGGGACATGARGAGCCAGAGCAGCGGGGAGATGAAAGCCAAAGCCAGGAGGGACGCGGGGGTGGCTGTCCCGGCCGGGCCTGGCGGTACCGGAGGCCCCTCTGGGAGGCGGCGGGGCCCGGGCCGTGCCGGGGCGGTGCCTGCTGAGCTTCTCCTCCGTGCAGTCCATTATGTCCTATAACGGCGGGGCCGTCATGGCCATGAAGGGCAAGGACTGCGTGGCCATCGCCGCCGACCGGCGCTTCGGGATTCAGGCGCAGACGGTGACCACGGACTTCCAGAAGATTTTCCCGATGGGAGAAAGGCTCTACATTGGCTTGGCCGGGCTGGCCACGGACGTGCAGACAGTGTAAGTGAGGCCTCGGAGCCGAGAAAAGGCGTTTTTACAATAAATACTCGTACTGAGTAAATCTCTTTGTTTATTCTTGGGGAGGGAGAATATTTGCAATTAATGTAAAATAAGTGGTGCCAGCACTCCTATTCTTAGTTTCCCCTGTGGGAGAGCTTTTTAAATAAACCTGCCTGTGATTTGAGATCACATCCCTACTAAAATTTAACTTTCACTACTAAAACTTACCTTAAGCTCTAAAACACGCTGCATCTGCATGCCCTCCCTGCCCTGGGTGCTGATGTCTGTGAGCAGCAGAACAGCCCAGGCCTGGATAAAGGGGAAAGGAAAAGGAACTTGCTCTGATTTAACCACATCTCTCACCTTTTGCAGTGCCCAGAGACTGAAGTTCAGGCTGAATCTCTATGAGCTGAAGGAAGGGAGGCAGATCAAACCCCAGACTTTCATGAGCATGGTGTCCAACCTGCTCTACGAGAGGAGGTAACAGCAAAACAGTTTTTGTTTAGTGCCAGTGATGGCCGAGGTTGCTGGAGCTGTGCCAGGGGAGGGATAGGTTGAAAATTGAAGAAAAGTTCTTCACCGAAAGGATGGCTGAGCACTGGAAAAGGCTCCCCAGGGAATGGGCACAGCCCTAACGAGCTCCAGGAGTGTTTGGACAGTGCTCTCAGGGATGGGGTGGGGTTGTCAGGATGGGATTGTTGGAATTGTCCTGTTCAGGGGCAGGGATGGGTGGCACTGGCCAATCGCTTTGGGTCCCTCCCAGGCTCTTCCTTGGCTCCAGGGCTGCCCTGAGCGATGTTTTGCTCCCCAGGTTTGGCCCCTACTACACAGAGCCGGTGATTGCAGGGCTGGACCCACGTACTCACGAGCCCTTCATCTGCTCCCTGGACCTCATTGGCTGCCCCATGGTCACAGATGACTTCGTGGTCAGTGGAACCTGCTCCGAGCAGATGTATGGGATGTGTGAGTCCCTCTGGGAGCCAGACATGGTGAGTAGGGGCTGGGATCAGCTGGGATTCATGGATTCACCTTTCTGCGGTAACTGGAGAGCTGGGGGAGAGGCTTTTTTCCCAGTGGAGCTCATAACAGCCCAAGGGGAAAACCTTGCAGGATTTTCAGGGGTTTCGACTGAATCCAGGGAGTCCCTATGGAGTTTGCACTGCAGCTAAACCCTGCTGTCCCCTCTGTTCCGCAGGAGCCCGAGCACCTCTTTGAGACAATCTCGCAGGCCATGCTCAACGCTGTGGACAGAGATGCCATTTCTGGGATGGGTGTGGTGGTGCACGTCATGTGAGTGCTGCTCCCTTCCCTGCAGAACAGTAGGAGTGCTGAACATCCAGTTCCTTCCAGGGACTTGTTCCCAGGGTATCCCTAAATCCTGCTTCTTCCCACCGGTATCTTCAGCAAGGCTCTGTCCATTCCTGCGCTTTGATTTTGCTGTTGCAGTTCATGTCTAGAGCAATACAGGAATGAATCCTGGAGATTGGCTCATGCTGCACAGGGATTCCCTGGCTGCATTCCCACACAAATGAGGGTGCTCTGCTCTGGATGGATGCAGCATCAACTCCCAGCTCTGTCACCAGGCTGGCTTTGAAAGAGCCCATTTTGTTTCCCTGCAGCATTCCGGGCATCCCAAACCCGGCAGCTCCCCGGGAGGGTGGGTTTTACTGAGCTCTCACTCCAGGTGACCCTTACTGTGCACCTGTGACTTCCCGAGGGAGGGACAAGGTGTAGATCTGGATTAAACCTGGATTTATCCATGAATAATCACCTCTCTTTTCCCCTCCAGAGAGAAGGACAAGATCACTACGAGGACCCTGAAGGCTCGCATGGATTAGCCCAGCGCAGTTTCGCTGGCACTCGGGACGTTTTAAAATAAAAACTCTCCACTGAACATTCCTTTCGCTGGGTCTGCACATGAGGATTGAATTCTTGTCCCTAAAGCCATCAGGAGGAGGTTTTAGGTGGGAGCAGAGCTTCCCTTTCCTGCTGAGGGAGTTCCCTGGACATGTGGGGCTGAGCTGCAGCCGGAGTTGGATGGGCTGGTGGCTTTTCCGGCCACAGCTGATTTCGTTCTGACAGCCAGGACTTGTTAAAGTCGGTTCTGACTTCATTCCAGGCACAGTCAGAGAGGCTTCTCCAGTTGTGGTTCATGGAATCATGGAATGGTTTGGGCTGGAAGGGACCTTAAATGCCATCCAGTTCCAATCCCAACACTTTSCACTGTCCCAGGGTGCTCCAAGCCCCATCCAGTCGGCTTTGGACACTTCCAGGGATGGAGCAGCCACAGCTTCTCTGGAAAACCCATTCCAGCCCCTCCCCACCCTCCCAGGGAGGAATTCCTTCCCAAAATCCCATTGAAACCCTGCCCCTTTTCCAGTTTAATGCATTTCCTGTGTCCTGTCCCCTACACGACGTCCCTRTAACAGGTGGAGCAGCATCTGAGTGTGACCCCATCAGAGAGCACAGCAGGGAGGGACCCAGATGTACACAAAGTTTTGATTTTATTTTTTTTTTCTCTGGTTGGAGACTTGTAACATGCATGCATTTCAAAACAGTAACAGTGTCTCAAACTGCTCCTAGCAAACAGACAAGCACAGAGGACTTAAAATTCCTATTTAAAAAACAGCAGTGAAAAAAACCTAATTTTTTTTTGTATTTTTTTTTAGTTTGGGTTTTTTTTTTTTTTTTTTTTTTAGTATTTAGATTAAACTTAATTTATTCACATTTTTTTTCAGTTGCACTGATTAGCCCTGCCCACCCTTGTGACCTGTGTGTGTAATCTGTGCCGTTACCATCCAGTTGCTTTGGCAGCCCCAAGAGCAGCATGAATTTTGAGTGGCAAACACTGAAACCACTAAAAACGATGCCCCGAGCTCTGCCATCCCTGTTATCCATGGGATTCATCCCAAGGAGCCAGGACAAAGGCAGATGGGGACGCTGGGTAATTGGGGAAGGGTCTTGGGGTTGGGGCTGTGGTGGGGACACCACCCCCCCAYGTTTTGGGGGAGAACCTTTCAGCTGGGGGTGAAATTCCAGGTGCAGCTGGAAGGGAGGCTTGGGAAAGGACTGCATAGTAGTCATGGATTGGGAGCATCCACCACCACAGCCTGGGGGCTTCCTCGAGACTTTCCTGGGCTGGGAATCCTCTCCCTGCTGATGGCCCCATGGGAAGCGGCTTGGGAAAGCAGAMATTTCCTCCCAAAATAAGGAAATGTGACTCAAGTGGTTTGGTTTTCCTTGCTCCTTGTGCTACTCCAAATTCCAGACTGCGATGTTGGAGTGTGACCTTTCCTGCTGCCCCACGGGTTGATTCCATCCCCACATGGATGAATTTTGTCCCCATCAGATGAATTCCATCCTCACATGGATCAAAATTCCATGATTTTGGCTTTCAGGATGAAACCCAGGCCAGACAGAGGCATGGAAGGGCTGCAAGGAAGGCTCCCACCGCTCCCCACTGCCAGCAGTGAACCCCTGTGGATTTCTCCCAAATTCCAAACCATCTTCCCAGCGCCGGGAAGCTCCTGGGACACCCTGGAACACCCAACCCCCATTCCAGGGTGACCCAGGAGGCTCTGAAGTGGGTTTTTATTGCACTTTTGGAGCAAAGCTGCGTCTCTGCCTCCCTTCTCCCGCTGTCATCTCAGGGCTGTCTCAACGGGGAAGGTGGAAATGCCAACTCAAAGCACATTTGGGAGTTCTCAAATTGTGACAGATCAGAAAGAGAGCGAGCCCTTCAGGAATGTGGATCCTGCAGCTCATCCCTGCCCTCGGGCACTGTGGAGGGGGAGATGCTGCTGACACTGATTCATTTTGAACTCCACTGGACCAAATTTGCTTTTTTGTGGCCAAAAAAAATTCCTGCGTTCTGCTGCAACTGAGTGAAATCCACTTCAGTGTGAAGTGTTCTGCGGGGCACATGCTAAGGACAGGAATTATTTACATTCAGCAAAAATCAACTAAATCCACACCAGAAACAGACAACGAGCTACCACGAGTGGTTGTAAAACTGGAATTGAAAGGCCTGGGTTTTCCTGTTTTTTGTTTTTTTAAATACTCAAGTAAAAAAGTGACCTAAAACAAGATTTAAAAAAAAAACAAAAATAAAACAAAACAAACAAACAAAAAAAACCAAACCTCAACTAAACAATAAAACAAAAATAAAACAAACCAAAGTCCCTTTTAAAAACAAATCAAATTTTTGCAGCTTCGMTTCTTATTCTCGTAGGAAAAATACTGTCTAGAAACAAAAATCAGCATTTTTAACGTAATTCTACTTCTCCAAATGTAAACAATATACAAAAATGCTTAATGTTAAATGAAGTTACATACCTGGGTAATACATCATTAAGTGAGAAAATTGCATTTAATTACTTGAATACACACAATATGGCAACTGGACAGAAGTGGCACAATGGGGAAGTGCTAAAAGTGAAGAGATTTTTGTGGGTCTCCCCAGATCATCTGAGCCAGAAACAGCCAATTGAATCCCACCAGGAGACAGGAGTGAAATGGGAGAATAAAATTCACTGCTCTCAAGCCCTTTTTGTCACAAGTTCTGTAAGGATTTCTGGAGGCGTTCCCTGGGTTTTGATTTAATTCCTTGTTCATTATTACGGAATTCAGTGAAGGAAATCATTCCCCTTTCTCTGGGTTTGTTTTGAGGTGTCTCRCTGCAGGGTGTCTGCAGCTCACCCACTTCCCTTCTCTCTTCCTCCCTGCTTTTTCTCCCCTTTATTTAGTTTTTTTTTTTTTTTTCTTAAATAGATGATTTAAAGATAAAAACAGTTCCCAAGCTACTTTCCCCAAAAGGAGAAGGGCAAACTTACCATGCCAAAGTTGCAGATTCAATGCAGATTTTTTTTTAAACTGTCAGGAATAAAAAGTGATGGGTATTTAATTTCCTAACTGGCAGTAAATTTAAGTGCTTATTGTTTAAGAAAAAAACAACCAATATAATGCCCACAAAAACAAAGTTGATCATGCCCTCCAAGTCCTCCCTTTTTTTTTTTTTTT